ACAACAAGGGGGGCGTGTCCCTGAGTCAGTTCAGAGGGAGCACGGACCACCTCTTCTCTTTGTCAGTGGCACAAGAAAGCCCGATGAAGTTCTTGTTGTTCGTCTCACCCGGCCCCCTACCGCATCACCCAGAGTCGCCTGGGCCACATCCCCGGCCCCGGCAGAGGATATTTAGGGTACCACACGGCCGCCTGCGGCCGCAACAACAGCGTTGCCATAGGCAGCCGGGGCAAGTCAAGCCACAGAGGAGAGTGCGGTTGGGTTGGGCCCAGGGGGAGATGCTGAGGGGGTGGGCGCTGCAGGAGGATCCCCTGCCAGGCCCACCGACACCCCCATTTCCTGAGAGGCCCCTCTTTCCTGCCCCAGCCAGCACCCCAGCCAGCACCCCAGCCAGCCTCCCAAAGCCCGGCCTTACCAGACGTCGGGGCTGCGCAGGGCGAGCCGCAGCAAGTAGAGCGCAGCGCTGCCCATGCCCAGGCCGATGAAGCCGATCATGGGGATGAGCTGCGGGAAGGTCCAGGACACTGTCAGCCGCTCCCCTCCGCCGCCCGCTCCCCTCCCCGAAGTTCCCCGTCCTGCCGGGCGCCCCCCACCCCAGCCTCGGACCCGTGCTCCCTCCCTCCTGGGAGAGGGGACTGGGACCTCCTGCACCACAGCCCCGGCCCTGTCTCCCTCACCCCACAGCGAGCCTCTAGGGGGATTCGAGGGACACAGGGAGGGGCACATTGCAGGGGGAGTTGAGGACACCCTGGGAGAGGTTAGACTCTGGGGGGGCTAGGCAAGAGGGTACGGGGAGCGCTGGGGCAGCGAGAAAGTTAGGCGTTAGAAGCAGTGGCTCTGGGACCGAACTCACCGCGGGATGTCTCTTGATCTGCCGGTACAAGCGGGCCCCCACACCGGTTCCCGCCATCTCGCCTCTTCGTGTCTGGTCCTCTTTGGGGCTTGGCTCCCTCGCTCCTCCTGGGGTCCCGCCCCTCGCTGGGGAGGGGTCAACCCAGCCCTGCCCAGCCCAGCCTGCCGCAGCCAATTTACCCCACCCCCTATTCCGCTTCTTCCCCAGTTCCAGGCTCGGAGCAGGAGGAGCTGGTGGGGAGCTGAGGGATTTCTGCTCCACTCTTTCCTCCGGGGGCCGCCTCGGGCCCACAGGGCCACCTCATACTTGGGGCTTTGGGTTGGTCCTAGGGAGAGGCCTCACAGGCTTCCCAGACTCTGATTGAGAGGGGATCCAGAAGTGGGGGGAGGGGTCAGGGACACCCCCCCACACACACACACACAGGCTGGCAGACAGACCCCCAGAGAAGTGCAGGTGTGGAGTGCTCTCAGGTGGCACCAGGAGGGCCAGGGCAGCCATTGCCACCCGGGTGCCACCGCACACTGCTGCAAGTTTTAATACCTGCCTATTGAGTCAGGGGCATCGACCTCTTTTCCTTTATGTTGTCAAATAAGAAAATGACAACAGCCAACAGCCAACACAACAATAGCCATCTGGTGTGAATGAATCAAAGTTATACCTATTTTGGCGCATATATATATATATATATATATATATATATATATATATACACATCGGTGTGCTGCAGAATTTTACTAGTTAGCTTGTGTGTGCCATGAGATGAAAGGGTTGAAAATCACGCTTCCGAAGCATCCATGAGCTAGCAGTCCCTGAGGGCCTAGGTTCTGACCCCTCCACAGAGCAGTGGGAGGGGGGGGGGACGGACAGTCCAACAGAAGAGCTAATGCTGCCCCCGCCCCTCTAGTTCTGGGTGGTTCCTCCCAGTTGTGTTCTGGTTGGCCTGGGACAGTGCTTGGAGGCCAGGGGAGCTGGAGGCATCTTCAACGGGGCTTAGGGCAGAGTAAGTCAGTTGTTGAAGTTTGGGGGCTTGAGAAACTTGCTTGCCCTGCCTCCCTTGGGGAAGGGGAAGGGGCAGCCATCCAAGGAGGCCACTCTCTGCCTCTGGCTGTGACAGAGAGGAGGAGAAGGGAGCGAGAAAACCAGTTCAGGAGAGCAGACAAGATGTTGAAGGAGGAAAGAGAACAAGACACATAAACAGAAGTGCAGAGCAAGCAATTGATTCCCCCACCCCCCCATGCTATGCTGTCAGGGTGAGAAGGCTCACTCACCATCTTTGGGGAATTGGGGTTCCAGGGACCCAGGAGCCCACCCTAACTACCTCTCCCACTCCCACGCTAACCTCCACCCTCCTCCCTCCCTGCCTCCCCCTGGTCACCTCCCTCCAGAGCCCGGTGGCGGCTGGGGCCAGGGTGACCTGTGCGCCCCCCTCTGGGGACCTGGGCTCAGGGAGGAGGGCGCCCTTCCTGGAGGCTTCCTTCCTTTCCCTGGAGCGGATACTTCCCCTGTCCCCTCCGTTGACAAGTGCGGCTGTAATTAGGCTGCGGGGTCCCAGGCTAGAGCCTCCCTCCGGCGGATAATGAGATAAAGTGTCAGAGACACGGCGAAAACAAAGAGACCGAGACTCGCGTGTGGGGGGCGGGGAAGGGGGACCGACTGAAGGGATGTCAGAGCCTAGAGCGGCGCAGGGCCGCACCGCCCTGAGCACTGGCCGGGGAGTGGGCTGTCTGTCACCCGTGCACCCCAGCCTTCCAGTCTCTGAGGTGACGGGCATGTGGAGGTGACCGGAAAGGGGACCTCAGTCAGTGCCTTGAGGTGTCCCCGGGTTGTCCTGTCGGACAACCAATCCCAGAGCTCGAGCTGGAGGGGCCAGAGCTGGGCTGCACACCTGGCTCTATGTGCACAGCTGGTGCGCAGGAAGCGACGGGACCTCTGGCCCCTGCGCCGCACCCCTTTGATTCTCGGGTCATCGCCCGCCTTCCTGGGTCCTTTCCTGTGCGCCCCAGGGACCTGGCCTAGCACGTCCCAAACCTCCGCCCGCTCCCTTCCCTGAGCCTCCGGCCTCCGGTGTGCGCCCCCGCCCACTCTCCCAGCTCCTTCTCACGTTTTTGCTTCTGATCTGGACTCCCCGGGGCTCCCTGGCCTCCCACCTGCTTCTGGTGCCAATCGCTGGCACCTTCTTTGTGACTGTTTCTAAGCCCACTCCTCTCTCTGGATCAGGATCTCCAGGGCCGAACACCGAGCTCTTTGGTTCCAGATCCCAGCTCCCCTCGCACTTTCCCACCAAAAGGATTCAGGCCAAACTGACCCAGCGGGTGAGGGGCCGCAGAAGTCATTAGCAGTGGGTTAGGCGTGGCCAGGGCCGGGCCGGGGTCCCGCCGCGACTGGACTCCGAACGCTAAAGCGCGCAGGACCCTACTCGGCGCGCAGACGGCTCCGCCGTAGGTTAGAAGCAGCTGGATTCGGCGCTGCAGGCTGATCAGGGGCCGTGGCCGCGGACGCCCCCTGGAGGCCGAGCTGCTTCTAAGCGCTCAGGGGCGATGCCTCGGACGCCCCCTGTCGGGCCGCGTCGGGCCTGCGCCCCACTGCATGTCGGCAGGTAAGTCAGCTCCCAGAGTGTGGTTCACGCCCCGCCCGCCGCTCCTGCCACTCCCGCGGCCAAGGCAGTGGGTTCCGCAGTGGCCGGGTGGAGGGTGCGGAGAGGAGCCGCGGAAGCTCCTGCCTCGCCAGCCTCGGGCACCCCAGGTTCAGGATGAGTCCTCTCGTGAGGCTGGGCAGTCCCAGAGCCCGGGGGCAGCTCCGTCTCTGCCCAGGGACTGCCCTCTGCCCCTGCCCGTCCTACTCTCTCTGCCCTTTTTCTTCGGGGCCCTGTCTGTCGCGGTGTCTCTGTGTATGTCTGTGTGTCTCTGTTCCTTATCATCTGGCTGGCTGTCTCTTTCTCTACCTGGCTTTGTCCCTCTGCAGCTGTTTCTCTCTCTGTGGTCTCTCCTTCCCTCCACATCTCTCTGCCTCGCCGTGTCTCATTACAGATGCCTCTGCCTCTCTTTATCTCTGTCGTTCCCCTCCCATTCACTAGTTGGAGTCCTATTCTCTGGCTTGCTGCTCCTGAGGGCGGGGGCTGCAGCAGTCCTACGGGACAGCCTGGGGACACCTCGGGGCACTGACTGGGGTCCCCTCTCCGGTCACCTCCACATGCCCGTCACCTCAGCAGGGCTCCGTCTTCTCTCTGCAGCTGTGGGGCGTGGGGGGCGGAGTCCTGGGGGGGAAGACCCTGGTGCTCAGCATCTGCTCGGGAGCTCCGAGGCTCCTGACTCTCCTGCCGCTATTAAGGGCTCCGGGTCCCGAGGCTCGAGATGATCATGATTGCATCAGCTAGACCGCGGAGGAGCCCGGGAGCCGCTCGAAGAGCGAACGAGGGAGCGAGGGAGCGAGACAAAAGACGCCCGCGCCATCTGTTTTATGCAAAGCACTTCTCCGCCGGGGACCCCGGCGTCCCGGTGCCCGGCCCGGCTCGGGGCACCAGGTCAGGAGCCCGCTCCTGCTGGTGCCCCCGCGGCGCCTCGGCTGTCCCTCTCCCAGCACCCAGAGGGGCTGCGGGCGAGCGGAACCGAGGGGGGCGGGGGGTTGTTGATGTGATTGGAGCGGACGCGGCTGTTTCTTCAATAATGGATGGAGATGATGCGGACGGCGCAGCTAAGCCCGCCCGGAGAGGAGAGGACTGGAGATCGGAGAGGAAGGGGGGTTTGGGGGGGAGTGGGAGAGGCAGCCGGGCGCGCGCAGGCAGACACACAGCGCGCCTGCGTCACACTGTCTTTCGAATACCCGCCGCCGTGCGGTTCACACCCAGGCACACGCCCACGCACTGTCACAGAGGCGCACACACCTGCAAGTGTAGATGCCAGAGCAACACACACTCGCTAGCGGCTCTTCCTGATTCTCACACAGACACCGTCCCCGCGGGCAGAGACCCACGGAAATGCCTACGCGGGGCACACCCAGGCGTGAAGAATGCACAGACACGCCAAAGCACATGTGCACACCTAGACACCCAGGGGCTTAGACTGACAAAAATAATACAAGTTGGGGGAGAGGGGGGACAGAATGGTGACAAGACAGATACGTATTCAGGGTACAGGGGCACACACCAACGTGCACACACGCCTCACACACTTTGGAGCACACACGCACACACACACCAGGGACATGGACACCCATAATTGCCAAGGGCACAGAGACCCCCACACGTTCAGAGGTTGGCACCCACACACCTGCAGGAGCCGAGCCCCGGTGGAGGAGTGTGGTGGAGAGGTGGCTGGAGTCCCTGCTGGAAGCCTTGTTATTCCAGCCGCATAATGAGGTCCTGATGGCAGGAGGGCCTGCTGACAGGAGGCGCCCGGGGCTATTGACCCTGCACCCTGTTTGACTGCCTGAAGCTTCCTTCCTTGGCCCCCAGGGCAAGTGGTGCAGACGCTGGGCCCCTCTGGCCTCAGCCAACCCCAGCCCCAGCCCCAGCAGTTGGGGAGAAAAGCAGGAGCAGGAGCCATAGCATAGAGGGACATTGGTGGCTGTGCAGGAAGACTCCCAGGATCCTCAACACAGCCGGGCGGCAGGGGGTGGGAGAGAGGCTCAGTCCATATCCCCCTCACCCCTGTGCTGCCCAATCTTCTGACCTCAGGGCACTTCCTTTACTATGAGTTGGTGTGCACTGAGAAGAGTAGGGTGTGGCTTGTATCTTGGACCCTAATAACCCGCCCCCCCCCCCCCCCCCCGGCTTGTTTTGATTCAGTCCGCTCCTTGGGCCCAGACTTATGACCTTTGCAGCGGGAGGCAGCATTATCCATCACCCCCGTGGCCGCTGCAGAGTAGAGGCTTTGGAGGCCCCACAGGGTCTCTGTTGTTCCCGACTCCCTCTCCTGAGAACAGCTCTTTGCCAGCCGGCCAGGGCTGAACCAGCGGGCAAGTACTGGGGGTCGGGGCATGACCATGGGGCTCAGTCACGATACTGGGCCTTGTGTCCCCAGCCCTGGCACCCCAGCACCCGTCCTTCCAGCTCCGCACAGCCGGCCTTCCCGCTCCTTCTGCCCTCCCTCTCTCGGGCCCTTTGCTTAATTTCCTATTAACTGCTGATAAATCCAATTAAACCGCCGTTCTAATTAGGGACAGCTGCCGGCTCTGCGAGGCGGGGAAGGGGGGTGCCCCCCGAGTGTATGGGGGGGGAGAACAGCAGCTCTCTCTGTCTCAGTACCCCCACACCAGCATCGCCGCCCAATGAGCCAGTAAATTGGTTTTGCTTCAGCATTGTGGGGGGCCCCACTCGAGGATCTCGGGGGCTCTGGTTTTGAGTCCTTCAGACTGCTTGATGAAGAGATAGGACCCAAGCCCTAGTTGTTGCCCATTTGTGGGAGGCAGATCCTGCCGAGGAGGGATGAAGGCAAAAGGCTTGATTTGTATGTGGGGGTGGGGGTGGGAGGCGGGAGGCCTGTGGTCTGCTGCTCTTCCAGCCCAAGCATGATTAAAGGGGTGCTACCTGAGTCTTCCTTTATGACCCCGCACCCCCCAAGGAATCCAGTACAGTCAAGAGCAAAGGAACAGGAGACAGAACCCGGCTCTGCAATGAGTCCTCTTGTGTGTTTCCCTACCCCCACCACACCTCAGCCTTCTGGAAGGAAGGGGGGCACGCCCGTCCCGGGCCCTCCTTTTCCCCAGCCCAGCTGAGCCTCTGTCCTCCCCCCACCCTTTCCCGCCAGCAGCAGATGGTGCCTGGGCTCCCGCTGCCAACCTTGCTAGGCGGTGCCAACCTCAGGCCTGGCAGACAGCGGGCAGGAGAAGAGGATCTCCTGGCTGGCCACGCTGACCCTCCCCCCATCCGCCATCAAGCTCAAGACCCTCCGCTGACTCCACTCCAGCGACCACCCCAGGCTGCCTCTCACTGGTCCACTCCCAGGCCCCTACCCTCCTCCTTCAGCTCCCTTCCCTACACCTTCCCGCTCCCTGCCACCTGCCACCCTGACCAAGGCCGGTATATTTGCATGTCTACATATGCAAATGAAAATATTTGCATACGGCGCGCCGCAGGGGGGTTCTCCGCGCGAGCCCTTTAGCTGTCTGCCCAGCGCCCTCTCACTTGGTACCTGTCAGGGCTGGGGCGGGGCCGCGCGGGAGGGGTTAAGCCCCCGGGCCTTGCTCGCTGGGTTCCCGGAGGACTTGAGGAAGTGTTGCCATGGAGACGGCACGCACCCCACTCCCTCCCAGACCCAGGGTCTCCGGCTCCTTGTCTCTGGTTCTCTCCTCTCCCCACCATCTCGGCCCCCGTCCCTCGCTCTCCAACCGAGATCTTGCATCGCCCCCTGGCGGCCCAGCTCGGCACTGAGCCAGGTTTCGAAATGTAAGGCGCTGTCCGCGGCTAAATCGCCAAAAGCTAGGGGGACCTACCCTGCAACCAGATCCTGTTCCCAGCCCCAGCGGCGCGGGGGCGGGGACCCCGCCCGGCTCTTTTCTTTACTGACTGCAGAGGCCTCCCCTAGCGGACGCACTGTCTCCCACCTCCCACTGGCCTCAGCCCCGGTGGGTTTCAGGTTACCAGATGGTAGCAAAATGTGACTGTTGGGGAGGATTTTCTACCACTTCGTAGGCCCTCTCCTCCCTCCTCGGCCCCAAGTTAAAGAACAAACTTTTCTAACTTTTGTCAAAACTTTAATAAATTCACAACATTCAACAGTTCGCCTCCCACCCACCCCCGCAACCCAGGGCGCCTCCTAGTGGAAACGCAATTTTTTTCCAGCTCTCAGAGGCTGTTCTAGGCACCAGTATCCGACGGCATAGCCCAGGGAGGAGGGCGGGAACCAGTCCCTTCCCAGGAGCCCCGTCTCGCTCTGGCGGGCCTTCCCGCTCCTCCCTGACTCAGCAGTAGAGTTGCTTCCACTCCATTTCCTCTCCAGCTTCCACTGGGCCTGCAGCACCCGGCCCGGGTCTCTCCCGCCAGCAGGCGCCGGCTGCACACCTAAATCTCCTCCAGGAAGTCGGTGGGGAACAGCCCCACCTTGCGGCCAGTGTAGACCTTGACGTAGCCGCCAGCTTCATCTCCTTTCTGCACCACGATCTAGGATTAAAGGATTAGGGAGGAGAGAAGTCAAGGGAAAACAGTTGTAGAGGAGAGCAGGGGAGCCCGGAGTTACGGAGGCCTTTCCTAGTGTCATTAATGGAGTGTAGTGTGCAGAGGAGCCTCCCGGCCTGGGGTTGGGTTGGGGCACCAGAGCTACTTGGTCTTTTTTTTTTTTTTTTTAACCTGGTCCTTCTTGAGGGTGATCTGTCCTATTTCGCGATTCCCCACGAAGGATCTTGTTACCCGGTGCACACGTTCTCCAGACCGGACCCGAATGATGAAGTTTGGAGGGAAAAATCCGACTTTCTCCCCTATTTTCCCCTAGAGAAGATGGTAGGGAGAATCAGCCTTTTAAACTCAACCCATGTCCCACCCTACCCTCAGTCATTTCTCTTACCCGCCACCACTCCTCATTGGAGTCATCAATGACGGTGATCTTCTCTCCAGGCCTGGCAGGGAAAGGGAGGGGCCTCTGAGGTTTAGGGGCTTCCTATCCGGTCCCTTGGCTGTACCCAGGTCCAACCTCAATACGCTCCAAGCCCTGAGTACCCCCTTCCCCTCTTTCCTTTCCCAGAGGGAGCTGGGCTCCCAGTCTACCCCCACCCCAATCTTAAGGCCTCTCACGGGAAATCCAGGTCGTCCTTCTCCAGGGCTTTGAACCGATAGAGAGCCACAAAGTAATGAGACTGCTGGAAGCCAGGCTGCTTGTGCTGGGGGTGAAAGGGGGTGATGAGTCTCAGGGCTCCTCTGTCCCACAGTGAGGGGCAGGAGACCAAGGCAGGAGCATTCTCCAGACACACTCCATTCCAACTCTCCCAGGTCCCTGAACTAAGAGGAATGCATTAGTTGTGTGTGTGTAAGGTGGTGGAGAAGGCCGGTTAAGGGTAATGGGAACCCGTGCTCTTGCTGTGAGGTAGAGTGGTGTCAGACTGGGTTGGGAAAAGGACTGGGCTCCATGCAGGGAGAAAGGAGTCTCACTTTGTCATCAGGTGTCTTCTTTTCAGCCTTCTTATCCCCTTCAGGGTTTCCTGGGATGAGAAACACCAGCCAATTGTCTCTGGTTCCTCTTACCCTTCTGTTATGGGGCCTCCTTTCTCTCCAAACCTGGCGTACCCTTTAATGTCCTTTCCCGCTGCCATTGCTGAGCCCGACCGCCTCCATCTCTGTGGATGGAGGTGGGAGCCACTCACCATTCTGGGCTTTGCCTCCCTCTGGTCTGGCCGAGTCTGGCTCCTCTTCCATCATGGCTGCTAGAGGCTGGAGGGTGCACCAGAGTTAGGAAGATGCTGTCTGGGGAACCCATACTTGCCCTAGCTCTCCAGTCAGGACAGAGGCTAATAGGATCGCAGGGTTGGAAGGAGCCTTGGAGAAAATATCTATTCAATCACCTGCCTAATGCAGAGACCTTCTCTAAAACATCCTGGCAGGTGGGCCACCCACATTGTGCTTGAATGTAGCTAATGACAGGGAACTCACCACCTTTCAAAATAAGCCCATGCAATTTATTTATAGGACGTTTCCCCATATTAAGCCTATGCCAGTCTCCCTGTAACTATTAGTCATTGGCCTGATTTGCCTTCTGGAGAAATATAGAACCAATATAGTCCCTTTAAAGATCTGAGGACATGTCAGCACATGTCCTTCCTGCCTTTTTTTTTCCTCTAATTATTCTCAGACCCTTCAAATCATTCCCCAAGATCCCAGTTCTATGTCCTTTACTATAATGTCTGTCCTTAAAAAGACTTCAGTGTATAAGAGAAAAATGGGCAGCACAGCTTTTACAATTCCCTTAAGAAAACAGTACCCGAATGTGCTAGCCTTTCTGCAAGCAGCCAAATCACAGTGTTAGTGCCTTACAGTCATAGCTCCCTCCATAGAAATCCCTAATTTGCACCCAACTTCCATATCAACTACTTTGAAGCCAGATTTCTAGTTCTGTTTTTGTGCAGTTGATTTGTTGTTGTTGTTGTGTGTGTGTGTGTGTTTTGTTTTTTTGTTTTTTTTTTCTTTTTGATTCAAGAACAGATATATACATTTTTCCTTACAAAATTTCAAATGATTAGTGCTGGGCCTTTTTCTAGTCTATAAGATTTCTGAATATATTATTTAGTATATGTTTTTCCTTCTATGTTTCCCACAACCTTGATGGGTACACCATTTATATCTTCATTTGCACCAGTGAGAAAAATGTTCATAGGTGAGGACCAAAGACAAAATCATGTTATGAGCCATCAGAAATCTTCCTGTAGGTGTACACTCCCTAAAGCAGTGGTTCTCAACCTTCTGGCCCTTTAAATACAGTTCCTCATGTTGTGACCCAACCATAAAATTATTTTCGTTGCTACTTCATAACTCTAATGTTGCTACTGTTATGAATCATAATGTAAATATCTGATATGCAGGATGGTCTTAGGTGACCCCTGTGAAAGGGTCGTTCGACTGCCAAAGGGGTCGCGACCCACAGGTTGAGAACCGCTGCCCTAAATGACCAGGGTCCTTTGGGTACTATCATTCAGTCAATTTTAGGATTCCATCTAACCGTAACCGTTATCTACATTAGTCCATCCTGGTTGTCCAGAAAGATATGAGGATATGCTAACAAACCCCTTGCTGAACTGAATGCATCTATGGCATTATGACTCTAGTAATCTATATATATATATGTAAAAGCCTAAGCGACCAAATGACTGAACTGAATGACCGGTCGCTATGACGCGCACTAACCACCAGGGGGCAGGCACTCAATGCAGGAGCTACCCCCTGGTGATCAGTGCACTCCCACAGTGGGAGCACCACCCAGCTGACCAACGGGCGCCAGATGCCGGGCTCATGGCTGGCGAGCGCAGCTGCCATGGTGTGAGCCTGTCCCGCCTCCACAGCAGCGCTGAGTGGTGGCAGGCGTAGCAGGGCAGGGATGAGCGGGAGCAGCACCTGGCCCGGGCTCAGGCTCCTACTCAGCCACCTGCCACTTTGTGCACTACTACATCACTCAGGGGATGTCAAAACCTGCAGTCTGACATCCCCCCAGGGGTCCCGGATTGCGAGAGGGCACAGCCCAGGCTGAGGGACACCACCAGTGCACAAATCCGTGCACCGGGCCTCTAGTCCTATTATAAAAGGAAATGAAGCTACTTTTGGCCACTAGCTTTGTGCCTCAGTTACCTCATCTATAGAATAAATGGGTCAGACCAGTCGATCTTCATGGACCCTTGTATGACTCTAGAATTACCGGGCAAATTCTGTTCCCTGAATCCAAAAGCACAGCTCTTGCCTCTGTTGTCTAGCAATGCCAGGGGTCTGGGGTCTAGCCTTCAGTTGGTTATAGTGACTAATCTGACAGTTTCACAAGGAAGTTCCTGGAGAAAATGCATGCTATGGCAGGAGTTCTTAACCTGAGGCCCTCTAAAATTGCATGCAAAAATCTGTCTGTTGGGTTATGTGCAATTTTAGGGGAAAGGGATCCCTAGCTTTTTTCAGCTTTCCAGAGAGGAGATATGGGGTCTCTGGAAGGGAGGTATGGTGCTCACATTTTTCTTATCTGCCTGTCCTTTCTTCCGTTCTTTGTTTGCCATGATCACCCCAGTGCGCAGTGTTTCAAACACAGGGTCATTACGATTTGCAGCAGCTGGTGGGAATGAGAGAAGAAAGAAGACATTACTGGGGAGGCAGGGAAAGGCTTGGAGGAAAGAGAGACCTCCTAAGTAAGGGAGAGGTGGGATTGAATGGACACGTGTGTGTGTGTGTGTGTGTGTGTGTGTGTGTGTGTGTGTAGGATCAGGGAAGTTGTCATCTGGGCATACCTGGATCATCAATCTATAAAGAGCTCTAAAAACATCACTGGAAATGTAATGTAATGGAGAAAAGTATTTACCAGCACTCCTTCCAGGCAGAGCATTCATTATATGATGTTGGAAAGTCCACTTTACTAAGTTGCTTGGGCGTCGGGGAATGCTCGGAATTCCCATTCTCCTTCTCAGGAGAGTGGTCCTTTAACTGCTGGCTTTTTTTGTCCCACTGAGTGGCATGTGCAAGCAGGGGTGCTTGTACCAGCGGACCCTTCTTTTTACACCCACACTCCTCACAGAATTTAGCTTCACCTCAACATAAATGTTAAGGGTTGCTAAACTATGAATCTGCTCAGGATGTCCATAGCTCTGGGTCTGGCCTTAAGTGTGGCATTCTTCTGTAACAAGGATGAGTACAGTCGAGAATCCTTGTTCACTTAGAAATGGTTTTGCATATGCAGAGCAGATTTTGATGAAGATTCCATCTTGGCTCTGCCTCTTGCTAGCTGTGTGGAGACCTAGCTAAATCTTATCTCCCTCAGCTATCACATAGGGGAATATCGACTCTGCATCCAAGGTGGCTAAACTATTAGGTTGAGAGTGAACCATGGGATGGAGAATCTTTCTGTTTCGGAATTTGGTTTCTAAATCTAGAGGTGTGCTGGAACCATCTCTAAACTTGCCCATTCCCTCCGGTTCCATGTGAGTCACTTACAGACACTAGCGTACTGCTGGTTGCTGTAGAGTGGGGAGCTGTAGGCCCGATGAAAACCAGGGGGCTGTAGGGTAGGATGGAAAGCATCAGAAAGAGCAAGGCAGGACCCAGAACCCCATCTCTCTCATGAGTGCTCACCCCTTTTTGAAGTAAGAGAAGGGCTGAGAAAGAAAAAGCAGGGATATGGAGGGGGTGACCTGAGGAGAGACTGGCAAGGGTGTAGCTGGCAACATGTCCCCTATTTTCTTGCTCCCCAAAGCCTACTCACAATCTTGCCGAAGCATCTCTGCATCTCCACGTAGGACTGACAGTGTTCGTGGATGTTGGTTTTGCAGTTCTTACAGCGAAGCCCAAATTTGTTGTTGACTTGGGAGAGGGGAGAACATTTGGGTGAGGTTCCTGCTTCCCTTTCCCTTTGTACCGCTGCTGCTACTACAGCGCTTAGGTTCCTTTTCTGTGTGGGACCCCACACCCTCAGTCTCTAACAGTTATTTCCTTAAAGCCAAATCTTGCCACAGCCTGTCTGCTACACCCTAAACCCTTTCCCAGTCCCCTGCCTTCAACATCACATGCTCTCTCCTTCCCTTCATGACTCACGCACAATCATCCGGGCACAGACATCACAGAACTTGGGCTTCTTGAAGAAATGATCTTTGAATTTGTGGGGCTTATCATTGACAAGCTTAGGAGGTTCTGGGGGTGGCTCCTCCTCCTCCTCCTCTTCTTCCTCCTCTTCCTCATAGATGTAGTAGATGGGCCCACCCCCAGCTCCCACTGCCTCCCCATTAGCCTGGGGCTCTGGGGGAAGCTCCATCTCCTTTGTCCCAGCAGACTCCTTCCTGAATAACTGCTTCAGCCGCTGTAGCTGAGGGGAAGGGAGGAGGAATGAAGGAAACCCAATGTTAAAAGAATTGTCATGCTCTCTAGACTAGGTAAAGCTGAAGCTCACTAGATATTTATCTAGCTTGGGGCAAGGGGTACACCCCAGGATTAGGGGGTGGGTATTAGGGCTGCAGATGCTGGCAGGCATTCTAACAATAGAGTCGCATACAAGTGAGATCAATTCAAGCACCTTTCTTCAAGTGCTGCAATGGCTTCCCAGGTTCCCCACACCCAGTGGTCAGAGGCCCTGACTCACCCCACTTTGCCGAGTCTCTGCTGGGGAGGGCTTAGGGGTCTCCAGCACCTTCTTTTCTGTCATCCTGCAAGAGGTTGGACCCCACTATGACATCTAATCCCTGACTGCCATTCTCCCTCCCTTATTTCTGTCCCTTTATAGTAGGGTGGTCCTTGAAGGGGAGGTTTTGGGAGAAATTTGGTTAGAGATCTTTTCACAGAGCTTATGAATAGGAAGATTCCATGGAGGTCCAGAGAAAAGCCCAACAGACTGAAGAACTTCCCCACTAGTTCCTCAAACCAAAACCCATCCATCCATTCTGAGGTGCAACCCCCAAATTTGTAGCCCCAATACAGTCAGTACTCAAGACTGCCTGGTTTAGGTATTTGTTTCTCCTGGGAGTCTATGGGCAGTAGATATATGACACACATCTTCCCAGATCTCCTTTTATCAGGAGGTTGATGTGTGGAGGGATGGGCTGGGGCATTTGTTCTCCCTACTTCTTTCTTGAGCCCTGGGGGCCTAGTGCCTAGTTCCCAGCTTGCCTCAGGCCTCAGCTATTTTAAGTTTTCAGAGTAATATGAGCCTTTCCTTCCCTTACTACTCCCTTCCCTTGACCCCACTCCAATCCTAGCTCTTTATCCTGAAGCAGAATAATTTCACTCCTAAAACCTAAACTACTCCTAGACAAGAGAAATGAAGAAGCTGAATAGACTATGGATTGGGGAGGTTGGGGAGAGCAGTCCTGGAAATGGAAAGAGGATGAAGAGGCAACTCACGTTTGGGATTCCCTGTCAGTTCAGTCTGTGGAGGGAAGAGGGAGCCCCTGCGATCTTGACGGTAGCACTGGAGGAAGACTGGTCCTCTTCCTTGGGGGCTAAGCCCCCCCAGTATCCTCTGAACTCACACCAGCCACCCAGACGGTATTTGTAGACCTAGCGTCTTGCCTTGGTGTCAGAGCTGGAATGACAGGGCTGGAGTGAAGTGGACAGCTGAGTGACACAGCTGACATAGAGAAATTGGATACGGGGAGGCCTGGACCCTAACTCCTCCCACCTCCCAGAGCTGCTGTTCCCTAGTTTCTCATCTGTGGTGTGCAGGTCAGTACTGGGTAAATTCAGGAGGGGACAGTGTTCATGCTGTATACTCATTTGGGTGATTCTAGATGACTGCAGGTAAAGATTGATTATGAACAGCTTTTCAATCCCCTTTCTCCGAGGTCCACACATCTCCCCAATTCTACCTCCCTGGACCTGCTTTAGGAATTAGGCCTTCTACTTCCCAGCCATTCTTTTTGTCGCCATGTCTTTATACCATCAAGCATAGATTTAAACGCAAACCTTTAGAACGGAAAATTTGAGCTGTCCTATCGGCCAGACTAGATTGCTTTCTTCTCTGTGGGAAGTTGGAGGGGTACCTTCCTGCCATCTTGTCAGGGAGTGAAGAACATGTGTATAGCTCTGTTCTCTCCAGCTGTCCCCAGAGGCATCTTCCCCCCTATTCCTCTAAAATCTTGTCCTCAGGGTGAAGGGACTTCTATTTTAAAAAGCCAGGCTGGGGGACTCTGGGGGAGTGAGGGTCTAATGATCAGGTACAGATGGCCTCCACAATGGACAGAAGGCAGTAATAGCTGCCACCCAGGGGTTTTTTATCACCTGCAAGTAATATCCCCAGAGAACTGCAAACTCTTGGAGATGGTAGGATGCCAGGCCTCCCACTCCGAGTCATTTTGATTCCGATTCCATCTCCCTCCTCGGATGCCCCAGGGTACGAACTGATGGGTCAGTGAGTTATCAGGCATTCTTATCTCAGGCACGCAGCCTTCTCCTGCCCTGTGTGACACAGCTGAAAAAGGAGATACCGCCATCTCAGAGGAGAGCAATTTGAAGGTGACAGTATAGTGCCATTTTATCCCTTGTATCTGTACAAGGAAAGGGTTATGTTGAAGGTTGGGTTAGACAAGCTTCGGAGGAGCCTAGCTAGAGACACTGCTACCCAGACCCAAGAGATTTCCAGGGCCATGTTCTTGGTCATTTCCATTTTTTTCCTCCTTTAATGGGTGGGTGAGACTGAAAAGGGGCTGCTGGATGTTCTGGGTATATGGGCTCTTTAATGACTCTGGTCTGACAGGTTGAACAACAGACCAGCTCTGAGAAGCCTCAGAGGAAAAGCTCCACCTTGCAGGCAGGTGACTTCGGCTCTTCACCTTTCTTCAGCTGCATAGCAGGGATGGCTGAGCACACCTGGTGTCTTGGTACTGCAAGTTTAACTGATGTAACTTTTATTGTAAGAAACATCTACTTCTGTTCCTGCCAGGAAGAACCCAATCGACTGGGTTTAGGATTAAAGAAAGGCCCAAGCCTTCCATCCCTGAAGTTTTCAGCAGATTGGATGGGCAGGTAAGAGGCCAGCATTCAACCCAGTTCTGGACCCCACTTACCCCTCGGCAGCTCAGCCTCAGGGAACCTAAATGAGCGTCACAGAATTAACAGAGTGGAAGGAACCTCAGAGGCCACCCAGCCAGTCAAGTCTCTCAGGCTCCTGATAAGGACTCAGAGCTGCAGAGCTGAGAAGTGCTATCCCTGATGAACCACAGGTAGTGGCAGAGTTGGGAGAGCTCAGAACCAAGGTCCCAGTAGAGACTCAGCCACTTATCAGAATTATGTGTGAGGAGGAGGCTGGGACACAGGGAATAGTGTTAAGAATATATGTGTTCATATGCTAGAAAGGCCATCCAAACCCACATCAAATCACTCCCACTCTGTGCGGCTGTACCTACCCAGGACCTCCAACCGCTACCCACACCAGGGCAACAAAAGAGAAACAGGGACTGACGTCCAATTGACAGATTTTTTTTATATTTAAAAACAAAATCAACCTTCCCCCAAGTAACCCCCCAAACAAACAAAAAATCAGATTAAATAAAATTTACAGTGAATATACCTAGCAAACATCTGTATGTGCAATTAAATACTGTGTCTGTTACTGCGGCACAAACCTCAAACAAACAATATACAAGTGTTCTGGGGGGGTAGGGGGAGGCCCCAGTTTTAACTTTGTAGGGCTTGGGGTGACAAGATGGGGAAAGTGAGAAGAAAGGGAAATCAATTTCATTTTTCTTAATTCTTTCCATATAAATATATTCATAAAGACCAAAAATGAAAAGGGAGCTTGGGATGGTAAGGAAATTAGGAGAAGAGGGGAGTGTAGAACCCTCCCAATTCTACCTGACCAAAAAATATGAAAGAAATTCATTTCATGGTGGGAGAAGAGATAAAAAATGATAGAAGAGGTTGGGAAAGGAGGGGGTAGCAGAGGGAGGCCAACCAGGGAAAGAGGGGGCCCACGGAGGGAGTAAGGAGTCCAGCGCCAGTGTGTCTGTCTCTGTTTCTATCTTCATCCCTACTGTCTTAGGCTCCAGTTTAGTGTCTGTCGCCTTCCTTTCTCCCTCTGTCCATGGTCTGCCAGGGAGTTATCCACCTTGCCCCCACCCCTGCTGTGCGAGTCCCTTCCCCTCATATTTACTGGGAGCTGGCTCGCTCCAGGATCCTCAGGTCATAGTTCTTTTTGGCCACTCGAAGTTTGAAGCGACTCACGGAGTTGTTGAGGCGAAGGGAGGCATTTTGGGCAGCCAGGGGGCTGGGAAACACAGCCACGATGGTGTACAAGGCAGCAAGGTCTGCATGGCGACCATTCTCAGCAGTCCCACTACTGTCCCCCCCGCCCCCAGCAGGCAGCCCCTGAGCATCCTTGAGCCACTGGATCTTGGCGCCGGACATGGCGAGCTGAGTGAAGAGTTTGTCCGCCTCCGTACGAGTGATGCCCTCAGGAAGATCTGTCACCTCCAGCACCCGCCCCAGGACTGGAAAGAGAGGAAAGAGGACATTGTGAGAGGGTTAGAATAGGAAGGACTGAACAGTGACCCAGCAGAGAAGTATTCGGTTGACCAAGTCTACATACAATGTCCTCAAAAGCCCGGCCTTTCCCACTTAGCCCTTTCCTCCTTCTCCAGTCAACCCAATTCCCCACCATCCTGACGCTGATCAAGGCAACTAGAAGAAACTAGGAAACTTCCTCTTCAGCCCAGAGAGGTAGGCAAGAAGAGACTGTTCTCTCATGGAGCTGTTACTGTGAAGGAAGTATGGCTTCTGCTGATGTTCTTTCACGAAGTCAAAGCCTGACCTGAAATATGTCCCACAGACCCCTTCCCAGAGGCTAGCCCAAACAGAGTCTCCATTATCACCCAGGGAAGTCAGTTTCCCCTCCTTTCCTTTTTGGCAAACTGCTCCAAATGGGGGAAATCCCGAGAGATCTGTATACCTAGTACGGAAGGCCTGCAGGAGGAGAGTCACTCCCCCATATTCTCTTGTCAATCTTCTCTTCAATTGGGTATAGGACACCAAAGGTAGACATCCTAGATTAAAGTCAGGACCACTCCCAGAAGACTCTCAGTTAATAACAGGCCCAACAACCCCCAGCACTGTGTTATTCCCAATTTTTTGGGAATCATTTTCCCAGGATCTGGAATAGTTTGGTAAGGAGAACAAAAATACTTCACTTCTCTTCTCCTTGTTCTTAGTACAAAGGGCTCCCATTTCCACTCTCCTCCCTAAGCTGGCTTTTCCCAGCCATCCTGGGCTGATAATGTAGGCCTGGAGGGCTGAGCACAGTCTCTTGGGGATTCAGCATCCTGTCACTCACCGACATCTGTCATCCCCAGGTCAGTGGAGGCAGATTTGAGTGCTTGTCTCTTACTCCGGTTTCCATGCTTCAATCCGCTCTGTCCCTTCAACATGGAAAGATAATGCTCATCCTGGGTCGATAACATTGATTGCCTTGCATCCCAATGTCTGTCTGAGAGATTAAGGAGCAGCACCCAAACCTGAGGACCCCATCCCACCAGGCAGTCAGATTGGCCAGCAAGTGGCCACTGAGAAACAAAGAGATCCTCCTCTTGACACTGGAGTGGGGTGGGAAGAATGGGTGCTGGAGTGGGCCCCTCCTGCTCTGTCCATTCTCCCTGTTTTGTCTCCCTTGTCTCCCCTGCTGTTGAGGTGGATGGCTCAGAGATAGGAGCCTGGATGAGAAGGGGTGTCTGATGGTCCTGAGGCTGATGGGGGACACCCTCACCTGGTGCACTGTGTAAGTCGACTGGCCATGGAGCAAAGGAGGGCAGATGGACAGATTGTACTGTAATGGCTGGCCCAAGAGGGAGTAGCGCCCATCACCTAGGAAGGAAGAGCAGATAGTTTTCTGGGAGTTTGAACTTTATGGTATGATTTTTATAAGATTTCAGGGGGCTTTGGAGATAGATACTGTTTCTACTTTTTCTATTATAGGAGTGCCCATATGACTGATTTAAGAGTTGTCTCTCTCCTAAATCGCTTGGGTCTCAGCTGTATCTCAGACAAATGGGGCTATTAGGTTCCATCATCCTTCAAGGGTTTTGTCTACTGTAGACAAAAGGTCCTGGAGGAAACCTACAGACCCTTATGAATGTGTTTCATTTCTTTTTTTTAAAATATATTTTTATTGATTTCAGAGAGGAAGGGAGAGGGAGAGAGAGATAGAAACATCAATGATGAGAGAAATCACTGAATGACTGCCTCCTGCACACACCCCCGCCCCCTTTACTGGGGATTGAGCCCCCAACCCAAGCATGTGCCCTTAACTGGAATTGAACCTGCAACCCTTCAGTCTGCAGGCTGGGACTTTATCCACTGAGCCAAACCAGCCAGGGCATGTTTTTCATTTCTTATATAGATTCTCCCCACCCCTTATCCAGGGATAAATTTTCTGTCTCATGTCAGCATACAGTGTAGCAGGCAAGAGTATAGACTTGGAGCCAGACTGCCTAGGTTCATATCCTGGCTCTGTTACTGAAAATGGAATGTTGGGTATGTTTTCCCCTCATTAGTATTGTTGGGAAGGTTAAATGAATATAAGAAATGTAAAGCACTTACAGCAATGCATGATACATACTTAGCACTATTAGTGTTAGCTATTATTGTTGGTAAATATATTTTAGAGCACTTTAAAGTTTTTAAACTACATTCTCATCTTATTTTTATACTGTTTGTGACAACCAAGGCAGAAAGCAGATAAGATTATTCCCATCATATTTGTGATTAAGGCTATTCTATGGATTAGAAAACTGAGTCTGGTTCCAAGTTTAAGTAACATGTTCAACATCACAAAGCTACTTATTTAAATATGAAGCCAAGTCTTTCAACTCAAACCCAGCATTCCCTCTTCTAAAACTATGCTGTGTCTGACGCAGCCCATACTCCCAGGCCTCAGACTCAGTATTGAGGGGTTGAACTCTTTCGTTCATTAGAAAGTTCAGTGAGCCCTGGCTAGTGTGGCTCAGTTGGTTGAGTGTCATCCCAGGCACCAAGAGGTCGCAGGTTTGATTCTGGTCAAGGGCACATGCCTGGATTGTGGGCTCGATCCCCAGTGGGGGACTTGCAGGAGGCAGCCGATCCATGATTCTCTCTCATCATGGATGTTTCTATCTCTCTCTCCCTCTTCTTTCCTTTCTGAAATCAATAAAAATATATTAAAAAAAATAAAATAAAGAGGGGCAAGTGTCCTTGGTCTAAACAGGGATGTTAAAATAAGAGTTGGCTCTCCCTGGCCGGGTGGCTTGGTTGGTTGGAGTGTCGTCTTGTACACCAAATGGTTGTGGTTTTGACCCCTGTCGGGGTACATGCAGGAGGCAGCTAATTGATGTTTCTCTCTTACATTGATGTTGCTTGCTCTCTCTCTCTGTCTCCCCCCCCCCCACCCCCACCCCCCAAGTCAATACATATATCCTTTGGTGAAGATTAAAAACAAAACAAAAAAAAAGAGTTGGCTCCCAGAATTGGACGACCAGCCACACTGGCTCCCTGCCTGTTGCTACCCTCTCAATCTCTCCACTTGGGAATGGGATGTGAAGGGGAAATCTGACAGCAGTCAGCCCTAATCTGACTCCTTACCCTGTGCTGGACCTCCGGGCCGGGGGAACTGTGTAAGGACGGGAAGAGGACTGAGTCCTGTGCAGACACTGCTGAGGCTGGTGACAGGAGAGGGTGCTGGAGACTGGGTAGGAGATGTGACGGGGCTGCTATTCATTTGTGTGTTGGCCTGTGGGAGAAAAGAGCACACATCACATAAACACTAAACATTACTCTCTGGATGTTATTTCTATGGCTTGGCTTAAATTCACTTGCCTCAGGAAACTTCTCTTGTTGAACTCTGCCAAAGTCAGGCTGCTCTTTCAAACTGCCCCCTTAGTCCCTAATTAGT